TAGAGCCCCTGTCGACTGGTCATAACTTTCATGTGCCCCGTGTTTAAAATGATCCCTGGTAAACAAAAAAAAAAAAAACTGGACAATTCAATGTAATAATAGTGGCTGGACAATCCATATAAATTTGACTTGTTCGATTGAAAGACAAATTTTATTTGACCATAGAATTTGAAAAATAATGCTTTTAAAGAAGATTGGTGATAACGTTGTATCATTAACTTGTTTGTCCAGAGTTCTATATTTATAGAACAACACACTTCAAAACAGAAACTTAAATTTATAAGAAAGTGATTAGCTGCATAAACAAGGGAAATTATTAATACTAAATAAAGGTTTTGAAAAAGAAAAAAAAAACAGCAAAAAAAGTTATCATGCCTCGAAGAACAAACGTTGCATGTGAGTTAATGTTCACTGGTAATACCTCCGCTCTGATGTTAATACTATAGTATTTACGCTGTCATGTATCCCAGCCTATGGTATGCCTAAAAAAAGTGTGCAGACAGACGCACAAATGTATAACAGTATATACCCTCTCTCCTTATAGGGGGTATAGTATAAAATGTCAAATTATTAATTTTAATCAGAAATCAAGTTTAAGTCAAGTATTAGATGGTTTGAAGGTAATTTTTAGACTAAAATCTCTCAGACTGTCTGGCGTTCTCTTTGACTAATTTCCCATTGTTATACCTCTTTACAGATCCAAATAAAAGCTCTAACTGTAAAATGCAATGAAAAGTATAAAAGTTTGTTATTTAAACAACCAGTTATTAAAAACTAATTGTTCGTTTTAAATTAGACAAATTCGGGTTATTTAAAAACATTGCCCTTAGTAATATATGTTTTAAAATCTTCCGTATATTACGGAAATAATTTAAGGTACCTAAATCCTAGATAGTGGCATTATAATATAATGATATCGCGTATTTTATAATTATCGATTCTTTACTGCTTAAATTTCCTGTTGTCTAAAGTCTAAAACCCTGACATACATGTACACATGTAACTGCACTGTTTTATCCAGTTTTTAATTAATAATTTTATTATTTGATATTTTAAATCTTGTACAAATATACAAATGTACATTGTGCATTTGCACGGGAGTTGTATTTTCAAACATACCATTGTTCTGTTCTATTTTTAGTAATTATTTCAGCTCGGTTCCTTTGAATCAAAGAATTGTAATAACTGTAATTTTAATTTTGATGTAGACTCCTTGTATATCATTGGGGGGGGGGAGTATTGTATAAAAGGTAGCATTTAGAAGAAAACTTTCTAAAAGAACATGCATCATTCATACGTTACTATGGTATATCACTTTATCCAAATCCAAAAATACAAAATGTTAAGTAAACGTGCACTCTGTCAGAACTGTTGTACATGTAAATAGTTTGTATACCAAGATATAATGAAATTAATTGTACTTTAACTTTAAAAAGAGTAGTAACGATTTATTCTTTTTTGCAACCACTTCAACACATCAAAACAATTTAAAGAATTATATATGTCGCTAAATAGCTATGAATTATCTTGGTTTATTGAAATGGGGCGAAAACAGTGGGAAGAGAATTAATGAATTCTACAGGCTTACAATCTATATAACCATGGCAATTCAAAAACCGATACAATGAAGGACAGACCTTTTTGTATCATTCTTGTATTTCAAAGATTTCAGAAATCAGACTTACTAGTACCCTTAAGGAGGAAATGTACTCTGATTTAGAATTTTCCCGATGCAACCTTAATACCAATTGATAACACTAAAATCCGATATCTATAGAATTATACATCCTTGTCTTCAGGATTTCTAATCGTACACTTTATTGAAATTGGATAAAAACTTAGTTTTAAGAAATTACAAACAGAGAGACAGACGGACAATAGACATTAATTTGCTATTGCAGAAAATATGCTAGAGGGTTGGCCATTTTTAAAGTTACAAAAAAGTAAAAGAAAACCATTTCTTAAAAAATATCTTTTGCAAGTGATGTTTGTCAGTTTGTCAGACTGTCAACCTGGGCAAAGTACATGTAGTTAGAATGGATTTCAATCATACATAAAAACATGTAAAGAACTTTAATTGCAAATATAGTTGAATCTGGTAAGTTCAGTAATAATTCTATATTAAAAAAATAATCAACTTTGTAGAAAATACTCTTAATTAACCAGGGAAGAATTTCGGAATCATTACATTTTAAAACAGGAAGAGAAAGTTGTGCAGATTACAACTGGAAATACGTACTTATGTGTTCTTCCAGCTAAAATAATTTATTTTTGTATTTAAGACGGAAATTCCTTTTATTTACAATAAAAAAGAGATTTTGGTTTCAAATGTTCATACACTGATATAATCTTCTACCTTTCGAAGTGTTGCAAGTGTTGTTTTATATACCACTAGGGAAAGTAATTTACTGTCTTTGCTACAAGATAACCAGAAGAAAAGAAGAATTGTGAAGGAATTATTGTGGTCATCGCTCTACATCCCTGCATATAATTGATATTTCTTGTGATTTGATACATGTTTATCTCATGATATCGTGAGGATATCTTGTTCTTATCGAATCTAAGCACCTCCGAAAGTTTTGTTCTTCAGTATCAACCAGACTTGGGAGTCAAAGATTAGAAACCAACTGGTATGATGACAACGAAATGGTAACTACCTACACTTTATTCTTGCATATGATAATATCGTTTTAATTGAAGTCTTTAATAAAATATTTTGATTTGCAGTCAGGACAATAATGCAGAATTTATACATGTTTAATTTATAAAAAAAAAAAAATATTCATAGAGATTAACATTTTCCGATTGAATATAATCATCAAACAACATACCTATCATACAATCTATTATATAATAAGTTATCGTTCTGCTGTACATGTCGGTAAAATACTACAGAAAATGTTCTAATTGCCGACAATTCACTTTTTTCTATTTAAAAAAAGGGAAGAGGGTAACCAGAAAATGGTATAGAACAACCCAATACTCATACAGGGTAACAAAGGTTCTGATTCCAACAGGAAACTGAAGTACTTATATATTGTGACCACTCAAACATACAAGTACTCATATACACATGTGCAGGCACCTGCTGTAACAATTTATCGACTCAAATAATTAAGGCAGACCTCAAATCAACACAATATACAAGTACATGACATACATACGTACCATAAATATGAAACAATTAATTATTCCGACCAAACTTCATGAATTTATAGGTTTTACATTCAAAATGTAAAACGTTTTTTATGTGAATTAGCAATCACAACTCATATTTTAAACATTTCCTTATAATAATATTCACACGCATAGCTCTTGTCTCCAAAAAATACTCTTTGTGTCAAAAGAAATTTTCTAAAGTGAAGCAGCCTTGTATTTTCCTGAAAACTAAGACATATTTTACACAACAGTTATCAATTTTCAATTTTTTTTTATTACCTTCTTAAACAGTAAAAGATTTCATACTGGACTCTAATCATGAACCGTTTTAAATGTTAGTGGAGACACTTGTACTTTGGACATGTACATGTGTCTTACAAGAACTCACCACGTGAGTTTTCTTCTTTCCAAGAACAGCTAGTCCCAAGATTTCTCTCTCTCTTTTTCGTTAATTCTGGTGCTTTCAAACTACAAAAGAAATTGAAAGCCTTTTCAAAGCCTTTTCAAATAAGTAGAGGATAGAATCTATTATGTATATACCGGCATTTGGAGATATTTAACCCTTTTTCTATGATCCTGTAACATCGGTGACAAACTCATGCATTTTTATATATGAAATCTGTTAATTTAAAGGAATGGTTCGTTAAAAAAAATACATTCAATGTTTGAACAGATGAAATGATTGTTCATATGCCAGGAATGCTATGAAGTATACATGAGTTTTGGGGGTTTTCTTTGTTTTTTTTTTTTAATAAACACCTGTCGCACCGTTTGCGTTACATCCCCCCTTTTTTTCTCCTCAAAAGGAACTCGTTCGATGAAAAAAAATTTAATTAGTGCTACTAATTCACTTCGTTAGAGAAAGGAAATGTTACAATTAAAATGAATGTTTTTTCACGATCACAAGTTAGACCTTTGTGCGCAAATTCCTAAAGCAAACTTTTGCAAGTGAGAAAATGCAATAAATCGTATTGCACATTATCTTTATTTGTTCCTCCACAAAACTATACGAAAATAGTCTAAAATTTCTGATGTTTTGCCGAGCGGGCATTAGAATATCGATGTTTGACCGCCAAATGAGTTGTTGGACCTATCGGTGAGATGTTGGACCGCTTACCTCACACGATGGGCGGAGATTAATCTCATTTGCATTCGTTGGTGTTCAACAGTGACGGACCTGAGGTTACACCTCGGAAGACAGTTCAAGATACATGTATGTCACAAAATATTGAGATAAAAGGTAAAACAAAACACTAATTGACTATGTTCTCGAGGAAAATGCGTTTTGTCGACACTTGAACCAAAGTGTCTGCCTTCAGACTATTTTCTGAGCAGTATGGTTCGTAAAAGTTTCCTAGTAGATGTATCTTGCAGAATAAAATTAATGTTAGATCCAAATTAAAAGAATTATTTTGATGAGTAAATTAAAAAGAGAACAAGCTTCAAACGAGAGCAAACGTCATATACATAGAACTCTATAGAGCTCTTTTCATCAGGTAGCGTAGTGTTTAGCATGTTAGTCTCAAAACCCCATGACACTCCTGGATTTTATTGCTTAGGTTCGAATCCTATGAATTTACCATATTTCTAAAAATAAAACAATATTTTTTTCAGAGATTTTTTTCTCTCAGAAAACTTTTGTTTTAAATCGTGTAAACTTCATTTACAATTCGTCGCCGATAGTGCAAAGAATTCTTTCTCCTCATTTACAATCATATAAGGTAATTCTCTTAAATGATGGTAACCTCGTGATCATGGTGATTCTGCAATGCAACGTCAATTCGGCATAAAGTGGGTTAATCGGAAGGGTTTCTTTTTATACAATCTTATTCCGGTTTTCATTAAAATGGCGTCAAAGTCTGACTTCCTTGTTTCACGGTTCAGAGAAACTTTATCAACCAAATAATTGGGATGGCGTGTGGTTAAAGCATCAGTTTTAAAGGTTTTTATTTGTGTCTGTGTATCTGGTGTTTACAATTGATACCGTGGCACGTGTAAGTAGGTGTAAATTAAGATTTTATTTTTTTCCTTGTTTGTTTACCTGTTTGCATACTTACAATTGTTACTTCTTCATCAGCTTTATAACCTAGATAGACTGTACCCATTTATGTTACGTTAGAAAATCTTTGTCATATTTATTGTTGATGCAGGGCCATCCATGAACAGTTTTTAATATTAGTAATAAAACAAGAATAGATATGGGTTAATACCCCATATCCAAAGATATTCGACTTTTAGATTTAATATGTTTAACAGTGTTTAATGACTTTTATAAAAAATAAACTGCGCTGTCTAATAGGGATGTGCGATTTTATCGGTATACCGGTATATCGCGATTTTTTGTTGCGTGATACGTATCGTGATACGGAGACCTAAATACCGGTCTTAAGGTACATATTATAAAGTCCAGAAATTATTCATTTATTTGTTCAATCTTTCAAATTACAACTGCAGAAAGTATAAAATATGTTGTAAAAAGTGAAAAGAACGGCATCTTACCGTCCAAACATAACTGATTTTATATACATAAAAATTCCAAGAAAGTAAAATTTTGTTTTTCTAGCATATTTTTTTTAGAAAACTAAAGACTTTTCATATAAAATCATTGTAAAAACTGCTTTTAAAAATATCATGATATTATCGTGATATTGTGGGAAAAAATCATGATATATCGCGATACGAAATTTTTGGCGATACCCATCCCTACTGTCTAAGTATGGAACTGGTGTAAATTTTGTGAGTCCGTAGCATTATGGTAACCCAGTCTCATAACAAACAGTGCACATACCTGTGTCCGCAAGACCACTTTAAGCCTTGGTCTACACAGGTACGTTGGAGTTGTCAAATGCATCTAGCGACCTCAGAGAAACACATTTTGTTTTGCCGAGAAGTTACAATGGCAGACAAAACTTTTTTCTTAATTAGATCATATGAATACAAATTGTGATTAATAAAAATTATGCAATCCCTGCTGAACTACTCAGTATATTTAATTGTTCTAACATTTGCATCTGCAACAAAGTGTGTTTAAAATGGGTTAGGAAAATCAGGGCTGGGCCCGGAAATTCTAAACTGGAAACCTTTTTTAAAAATTACTGAAATAAACTAATGTATTCGTCATGCAACTTATATAATTCAAATTCTATATAAAATGATATGCTGAACTTCAACACGAACCTGGTTTTCAGTTTAGAAATCGACGACCCGGTTCAGGTTTTGCTGTAGACACATTTTATAACTTCGCTCCCTAAACAGTCTACACACGAGCAGAATCCGGCAAGGGATTGAAAATTCCGTCATTTAATAATACACACACAGAGTGATTAATTTTTTCTTAAGAGGAAACTATATGATAATTAATTGTTGATTATGGTATAATCAATTCATCGGTGAAAAGATATAATTCGAAGAATGACCTAGATACTTTCTGTTATCAAACATGTTACAAAAAAAAAAAGCTGAGGAGGGAGCGAGCGTAGGAATATTAATATTTTTTATTTGCATTTCGAGGGGAAAGTGATCTTTGGAGAAAAAAATTTACGTTAATTTTGGTTTCTTTTAAGTTTGCATACTTACAATTGTTACTTCTTCATCAGCTTTATAACCTCGATAGACTGTAGCCATTTATGTTACGTTAGAAAATCTTTGTCATATTTATGGTTGATGCAGGGCCATCCATGAACAGTTTTTAATATTAGTAATAAAGTAATAATCATAGCGCAGATTGATATGTATTTTTGAAGATAATAATGGCATGTAAAGATGTATTTGGGAAGATTTTGTCATTTTTTGCCTTCACACATAACTGAATGAGGTACCAAGGAAACCTCTGCCTAGTGTTGCACTGTTTATTGTTAGCCTAGGTATCATAAAATGAGTAGGTTTGGATGGAATTCTTGTGAAATTTTTAATATTAATCAGATTTTAGAAAAGCTTAATACCGGTAGTTTTCATTGATATGAACATTAATTTTGCTGTCCTTCATATCCTTTTCTTTGTTATAATAAAATTATTTTAGAACTTCTGAAAGATAACTCTTTGTTATTTCTTTACAGGATAATAACATGCCATATCAAGACAAACAAGGAAGAACCTGTGGATTTCTGAACATCCTTGAGAAGGAATCCTCCACCAACTCAAAGCGACGATATTTCATACTCGACCCCTGTGAGGAGACGCTTAAGTTCTACATTGATAACCCTAATGTATGAAGACACCCCCTCTTGATCCCTTTTCAAACTGAAATAAAAATGTCATTGACATTTTTTTTAAAATTTTCGACATTATCGTATTGATACAGATTGATGCATAATTGAAAACTTCATATACTGTTTTATTTTTTGCAGAACTTGCCCTCAAATCAACAGAATCCTTGCGATGAAATCAGAACAGCCGTTATTTCAAAGGTAAATATATACTCAACAAAAAAAGTTAAGGGTTATGAAAACCTTCATTTATAATTTCTACAACGAAAAAGTATATTTAATCAAAATAAATTACATAATTTCCTCCGTAAAGTTATTACACATTTGATAAAAAACTATTAAGGGTAAATGTTCACTTGAACAGAAGAACAAGATTAACGATTATGGCTACCCTCCAATTCAGAGTGAATTTCCATATACAGTAATTGCATAATTTGTTTAATTCAAAATTGAAAATCATCCAACAACTCTCAATACATGATGTGGCCTCCCCTTGCCTGAATAACAACTCTGCATCACATGGGGAAACTTGAATGAGTGAATGGATGGTCCTTTGCAGTATCCAATCCCATTGCCTTAACAGAGCAACTTCAAGTTCATTGGTGTTGCTTGGAGCAGGATCCCGCTGCTGAATTTGTCTCTGAAGAACATCCCAGACATGTTCAATAGGATTGAGGTTTGGTGACTTCGAAGGTCACTCCATTCTCTCAATAGTCTCTGCCTCAGGGTACTGGTTCACTATGTTTGCTCAGTGGGGCCTGGCATTATCATCCGTTCAAATGAATTCTGTTCCTTTTGCCCCGGCAAATGTTCTCACAATTGGTTGTAGGCTCTCTTCTCTGTATCTGATACCGGTCAGTGCTCCATTTCTGATGATGTACAACTCTGTGGACCCCTGAATGGAAATGCCTTCCCATACCATAACATAATCTCCACCAAAGCAATCATGTTGAGCCACGCAGCAACCACTAAAACGCTTATTCTTCTGTCCCTACACTCGTCACCTTCCATCCTTAAAATCCACACAAAATTTGGATTAATCACATCAATTTATAATAAATTTCAGAATTGAAATTTCCTTAACTTAACTACAGTATATTATACATAACCCTTAACTTTTTTGTTGAGTATATTTTGTAAAACAGATTTGGATGCACAATTAAGCTGATCAAAGTGTACAATGAATTATTATTTTTCGACATTATCCCTCTGTTTAGGTTAGTGAAGTCTCAAAGAAACAGAAGCCAAAGCTGAATTCCTGCTTTGGTGAGTATTTAAAAAAGTATGACCTTGACATTTGTCTTAATTTTTTTTCTAAAAGCTAAATTGACTTTGTCTCCATTGAAAAATTTATTAATCATTGTGTTGGCTCAATGTAATGAACAGATTTACACAATTTAACATCATTTATACTTGTATACATGTACCTTTCTGTTTTCATTTTTATTCTTGAAAAGTTTATAAGACTCTGCTGCTGTTTATTTTCTCTTTTTTGTGGGTAAAATAGCTTCCGTGTAAATTTGCAGACATATTGTTGATTTAATAAAACCCTTTCATGATGAAATGATAGAAGTAAATACTAAAAATTATTAAAATGAATCAAATATGAATGATAAGAGTTTGAAAAACTACTTCATAAAACTTTTGATATACATATTTAATAGGGGGTGTAGCATTCTGTGATGTATCATGGTAAACTGGGACCCACCATGATATACGAGGGGTTATCAAAAAGTTTGTGGACTAGCGTCATAAAATTAAAACCGCTTTAGGCACATCAATGAATTTTAAAATATCAAGTTAGCATCATATTTTCTATCTTATGTATAAACCATAAATCATAAATTTTATTTTATAATAAATTAGTAGTAATTTTATATGCAATGGTATGCCCAGGCGGCGCAACCTCGAAAACGACGTTTTTGTGACCCTTGTGTAAATGAGAAAAACTTTTTTGATATGATCATTTGACATCCAAAAATTCCCTTAATTCAGGTATGTGCCGGGACACAATTGTTCCATAAAATATGAAATTTTTACTTAATTCTGAAAGCTCTATGAAATTTTACCGTAAATTTTACACGGAATGTCCGAACAAATGAGGCCTTGAAAATGACGTCAAAAGGGGGGAGGGGTTTCCGTTTCCAACATTCTATAAAGTTTTGCCACTGAAAAACTGGTATAGACCTAAAGTATATTGAAACTGGCTAGAGAGAAATAATATGCATCCAGAATACTTGTCTTTTAATGTCAAAATATATTCAGGGAGAAAAGGGATACACGGTTAATGTCGATTTGCAGTCAAGGTGTGAAAAATCAATCACTTCAAAAAATGACGCTGATCATGTGTTGTAGATATTGAACTCCCAAAAAGCAAAATATGCCGGCACAATCAAGCGAGGATCTCTTCCAATGTATTAATCCATTTGGAATGTTATATTCATTGAAGGCCACTGTTCATGGCATTGTAAAGTCATATAAACAAGATGGGTTTAAGTCCTTAAAAGCTCCAGGGAATCTCATTAAAAAAGTGTATGAGGTAGAAGAAACGGACATTTTAAAAAAAATGACGTTATTGGACGTCATGAAAATAAACGACGACAGCGCCGGGTGATGATATAATGTCGTTTTCATTTTATAATAATTTGGCAAATAATTAACATATCAGGCTAAAATTTTCAGCATTTCTTTATTTTTTGTTGTTTTATGTTCCATATAAATTGTGAAAGCACAGATTATGTAGTACTAATTTTATAGGCTCAGTCCACGAACTTTTTGATAACCCCTCGTACATACCATGATATTTTATCTATCATTTTTTGAAATATACATGTAGTTCTTATGTTCCTGTACACAAATGGATATAAAGCTTTATTATTATGTGAAAAGATAAAAAGCTGTAGATTATTTCATTAAGCTTTCAAATGCATTATATAATATGTCAGGAAGTATTTAGATAAAATAAGGGAAGGGATATGTGTGGAAAATATTTATATGAAATCCTTATAAATCCTTAATAGCATTACATGTTCAAGTTCCAGTTCATTTTATCCACCCAAACCAGGATTGGTACATGGGGTTCAAATAACATATATACAATATTATAGATACAAACTGGTCAGAAACTGGTACATAATTTCTTTATAACAAAAGGATGATATATGAATAAAATAGGAAAGAGTTCGATAAAACGAGAGGGAAAATATATCAAGGAGGAGAAACAGCACAGACTGTACATTGTATTTGATAATGTCATCATTATATAATTCAATTAATTTGAACAATTTTTCTTTTTGATTTTAGTTATAAACCATGCAGGGAAAACACTGTATTTACAGGCAGAGAGCACAGAGGACATGCAGGGATGGATATTTGCATTAAATAATATCAGTAAAATAACTGTAAGTGTAATAATGACCAAATAAATTTAATGATATCTGACAGCAAAATAACATTGGGAAAATAACAAAAAATATATACAAATCAACAAGACTGTTGAATATTCTGTCTAATTCTGTTACATGTCACATGACAGGATATAAACCCAGAAGTTCAGCTAGAACACCCCACCTCCAACTAAACAAAAAAAATCAGACCACCTAAATAACGCAACAAAACTTTCATAGTACAGTATATTTTATGTGAAATTTTGAACCATGATATTTGAAGTTTGAGTTTCTGTCTTGCAGGTTCCAGTGGAGGAATCAAAGAATTTAAATGACCCAGAAGCTGGTTATAAAACAGAGATTGCTGGAGGGGTACCAATCAAAATACCCATCAGGGTATGTGCTCAGCCATTTATTGTATTTGCTTTTTTATACCCCCCGCTTGAAAAGTGGGGGGGGAAGTTTTATTTGGTACGTCCGTCCGTCCTTCCGTTGTACGTCCGTCCGTCTGTCCGTATATCTGTTACGCTTTGGGGTACTCGTCTCTCATCCACAACTGAATACTCTAAATAAAAGATGAATCTTTCACAGAATCTTTATTACATATTACCATTGTGCACCTCCTATTTTACTTTTTGATCCGACACATATTTTGGGTTTCCCGGCCACAGGAGAACATGGACTTTTTCACCAGTTATAACCATATGGGAGGCGGGGGGTATCATTTAGTGAGCTCATCGCTCACAGTACCTCTAGTTTTTTTTGAGGGGGGGGGAGTTTTATTTGGTACTTTGTAAAAAGTATTTCAGTTGAGCACCACAGTTAAAGGATTATATAAATTACCATGAAACTCTCTATATATATGCTACCTCAACATTTGTTTTTGTCAGAGATCACAACAAATATCAATTGTAAATGTAATATGCAAAGTGAAATAATACTACCCAATGTCAAGGATTAATGGATTAAGTGATTTTACTTAGAGATATACTACTGTACATAATAAATGTTTTTCCAACTCTAAGTTGTTTTTTTTTGGGTGGGTGGGGTCAAGAATCAGAATGTCTGCAATTCCATCTCTGAGCTTTAGATAAATGGTTTTAAGCTCAATATTAGTTGTTTTATAAAGTACAAAAAAGGTAGAAAAACTAGAGGTACTGTGAGCGATGAGCTCACTAAATGATACCCCCCGCCTCCCATATGGTTATAACTGGTTAAAAAGTCCATGTTTTCCTGTGGCTACCCAAAATATGTGTCTCTCAAAAAGTAAAATAGGAGGTGCACAATATCAATATGTAATATGAAGATTGAATGTGAAATTTTCATCAAATTTCTAAAGCAGTGGTATGAGAGGAGTTGAAATTGATTATGACGTCATAATGGATCTAGCACCAAAAAATTAGTCTCAAGTTATTTACTAGATCTTGACCTTAAGCTCAATACTAGTTGTTTTATAAAGTACAAAAAAGGTAGAAAAATGATGCAATTCCTTGCATTGAGATGGCACTTTTATTACAAATGAGTTTCAGAGTTTACAATCCTTTATGTCTTGTTTTTGTTTATCTTGACAGCATGAGAATGCTAACGAATCAGGAGGGTCAAGTGAGAGTGAAGAAAGTATGGAGACTCACAAGATTGTGGCCTCTTCCCAGCCAGCGCTCAAAAAAGGCTTCTGTGTCAAACAGGGGGGCGTGGTCAGTATGATGGCTTCTGATTTAGTTTTAGCAAAATAAGGCAATAGCATGGCATGACAAATAAAGTCCCTGAATTAGCTTTTTTATCCTACCAGTAGGGGTATTGTTTATATCAGTTTCGATAAATTTGTAACTAGCATTTGTTTCTTTGTTGGTTTCAGTTTTGATGTGACTGATATTTGTTTCTTTTACTGCTCTTTCAGAGGAAAAACTGGAAGAGGAGATATTTTGTTGTGAACGATGGTGGCCTGGCCTATTACAACAATGAACAGGTTAGCTCAAGAAATAAGAAACAGAGGTCCCGGTCATGGGGAGATGAAATGTCTGGACTAGAATGTTGCAAAGAAAAAAGATGCATCTATTTTTAAATCATAAATCTATCATAAATTTTAACAATCATAACTTTGGGTAAACTGGTTTTTTAGCTCTACTGGTCAGAGACCAGAAGAGCTTATGCGATAGTAATGCGTCCGGCGTCCGTTCGTCTGTCTAGCTGTATGTCTGTCTGTCTGTAAACAATTTTTCAAAATGCTACTTCTCGTACAGTTTTGTCTGATTTCAGTATAACTTGGCACACATGTAGGCTACACTAAGATACATAATTCTATGTATCGGTTTTTGATTTCAATGAACGGTGTTGCCGTGGTTACTAAAAATAAAAATTTCTGTAAAATTCTTTCAAAATGCTACTTCTCCTACAGTTTTGGTTTGATTTCAGTATAACTTGGCATACAAGGAGACTATATTAAGATACATAATTCTTTATATTGGTTTTTGATTTCGATGAACGGTGTTGCCATGGTTACTAATAATAGAAATTTCTGTGAAATTCTTTCAAAATGCTACTTCTCCTACAGTTTTGGTTTGATTTCAATATAACTTGGCGCACAAGGAGATCACACTAAGATACATAATTCTATTTATTGGTTTTTGATTATGATGAACGGTGTTGCCGTGGTTACTAAAAATAGAAATTTCTTTAAAATTCTTTCAAAATGCTACGTCTCCTACAGTTTTGGTCTGATTTCAATATAACTTGGTACACAAGTAAACTACACTAAGATACATTATTCTCTTCACCAGTTTTTGATTTCGATGAATGGTGTTGCTGTTGTTACTAAAAATAGAAATTTCTGTGAAATTCTTTCAAAATGTTACGTCTCCTACAGTTTTGGTCTGATTTCAATATAACTTGGCACACATGTAGACTACACTAAGATACATAATTCTGTGTATCAATTTTTGATTTCGATGAACTATGTTGCTGTTGAAACTAAAAATAGAATTTTCTGTGAAACTCTTTCAAAATGCTACATCTCCCACAGTTTTGGTCTGATTTCAGTATAACTTGGAACACAAGTAGACTACACTAAGATTCACAATTCTGTTTATCGATTTTTGACTTCCATGAACATTATTGCCTTGGTTACTAATAATAGAAAATTCTGTTAAATTCTCTCACAATGCTACTCCAAATACAGTTTTAGTCTGATTATAATATAATGTGGCATGCAAGTAGACTACACTAAGTACATAAAGAGACTCAGTCAAGGATCATTATTCTGTTTATTGCTGTTGTAAAGTTTAAATTCCCAACTGCTTAAATACTTTTCTCTTTCTTTGGTATAGGTACAAACCAGCAGAGCTTCAGTCTCAACAGAGACTTCTGGTTTTTCTTCTGTTAACCCAATAATTTTTTTGGTTTGTGGAAAGTTGTACTATTTATGAACTAATGGTGAACAGCAGGATTTGACTTTGATTGTTCATGTAAATGGTTTAGAAAGTGAATTGTTAGGCGACTTTTTTTTTATAAACTATAAGAATTACTCAGTAAGGTACAATGTAAGCAGTAATTTGATGTACCATTTCTGTATGTTTCAGTCAGATGAACCTTTAAGGCATATATCCAGAGGTGACATCACAGATGTCAGAAAGGCCACGACGTAAGTTACAAGATACCTGGTAAAGAGCACAGCCAGTGATCAAAAGTTATAGAAATCATAGTTTAGAATCTGACATACATGCAATTAGGGCTGGGCTAAATGCAAATATTTTGTATATTGCAGTACAATGACTTAAAATATTTTATTGCAATACATTTTTATTGTACCAATATACTGTTAAATTGCTTGGTCTTGAATCTCTATATTTATGATAATAATAACTATTCTGTAAAAATATTGCAAGGCAGATATCTATAGCAGTACAGTGAGAAATTTCAGAATATGAAATCTGGCCAGTACTTAAGACTAAATACATCAAGTGAAGGAACTTCTTGAAATGGAAAATGTGTCTTTAAAAACACAATACTGATACATTATACATGGTTTCTTTAATACCCACTTATGTATAATCTTAAAGAATTGATTTATTGAAAATAACTTTGTCAGTAAAGATGTTATCTCTGTATTTTACAGGTCTCCAGGAGCCAGGGATAATTTATTTGAAGTTCATACTTCTAAAAGGACATTCTTCATACAGGTATACTTTCCTTACTATTCCAAGATAAAGAATAATATCATAATACATTGTAAGTCAATCAGAAACAAGCAAATTTATTCATCTTTTGCATTTGGAGGGTTATCATTCTTGAAGTTGCATGCAAATGAATTTTAAACGAGATTTGCTGTGAAACGGGGGGTGGGGGGGGGCACTGTGGGTATGAGTAAAATATATAAATGTATTTAACATTGTAGTGTGATACCCCAGAAGATGTACAGGAATGGATATCAGCAATAGAAAAACTTATAAATAACCAGGCAGTAAGTTATCTACTTGTGGTTAAGATACATATACTTGGTGAACAATATTTATACGTTTCAGTATGAAAAGATTTTTCTGAAGATATAACCTAACCTTGTGCCCTCTTGAAAACAATTTCATCTTGAATTATTCAGATGTTTTATCAGGCACAGTGCTAAACTCAACTATGACTACATTTTTGGATTGGTGAAACTCTAATTTGCTCTTAATTGCTCAGAGAAATTGTCATATTTTATGCTGTATTAAACCATACATGTCAGGTTTAACTCTTGGTATTGAAATTGGGTACCTTGGTCAACTACAGATGATCATCATCTGTCAATAAACATCTGTGTTTTAAAACAGAATATTTGTAAATGTAAAACAATGTCAGGAATATGAAAGATTCTGTTGATCTCTACTCAATGTGTAAATTATCCTTTTTATGAATCATCCTGAGTATAGTTGTACCAGTCAGTGGTAGTTTTGACAGGGTCAAGGATGGAATCAAAATGACAAGAAAATTTGAAGGGGGGGGGGGGGTGACTTTAGCTCAAGGTCTCAATAAAGAAATATGGAAATTTTGTTCATGTTAAAGGAATAAAATGCATTTCTGGAAACTTTGCATGCTCTTTTGATCATGTATATATAAGGTTGACTTCTTCATACTCAGATGGCCATACTTTTGATTTTCAAGCATATATACAAGTATGGGAGAGTAAGCTCTGCTGTTCAAAGTTTGTTTATCGTCTGTGCATTTCACACTGTTTGTATGTCTGTTTACTCTAAACTTTTCTTCATTTTCCTTGAACAAATTTATATGCGCCAAGAAAAAATAACAATCTAGACCAAAAGAAATCGATTAAAGACCCTGATTAACTTTCAGGCTACAGAAGAACTTTACAGTAGTAGTAAAGAACAATTTGTAAGGTATTGAAATGATTGTTTATGATTGGATAAGCAAATAGATACACATGATTGTACTCTAGATGAATTTCAATTTACTGAAGAAAAGGGGTTGGGTCACAGTCATTGTTCAAACAATACTTAGCTTTTTGACCAGTAGGCAAGAATTCTTATTTTGTAGACTTCATATTATTCTTTTTTTGGTCAAGGCATTAGTTGTGATGTATTTTTAGTTAGGTGCAAGGTGAGCAATGTGGCCTATAGGCCTCTTGTTTTCTTGCATGCTTTAGTCTGAGATCTGCTTGCATGTTTTTTCAGGATCCGACGACTACAATTCGGTTACATATGTATGAGACAATGATATGAACACAAAACAAGGTTGATCATGGTGTGTGATATGGCGCACTCATTATCCTAGTCTGTAGTCACTGCAGTTCTGTAATCCTTCATGTGTATCCATGCATGTAGTGTACTTCCCTCATTTTTAACACTGAAGGGGGATGGGGATTTTTGATTGTTTTATTTTTCCACAAATTTCAAAAGGAAATGATTTGGAAGAGTAGAGATTTGTTGTGGAGTTTTGTGTTAGTACATGTTGATTTTTTTTTTTGGACATTTTAAATATGTTGAGAGGTGTCTGGTTAAATAATGGATATGACCAAAAAAATTATGCTGGATTTCATTTGAGTTAACACCATTCTAATAACAAAATAAATGAGTTAAATAAATAAAGAGGGTAGGCATAACAATTACATGTGTAATAGTTTAAAAGCTATATTAAGATTGTGGCATTTTGAAAATTTTAATGTATTTGCTTAATATTTGGAAGTGTCCAAACATTTGAAAAGAGAAAGTAGTGCAAACATATGAACTCAAGAAAATTAAGTGACAATGTTAGATGGTTAAAATGCTTTGACTTTATCATTCATGTACCTTAAGGCAATACCATACAAAATGTAAAATTCAATATATCATTTATTTATAAGTATATATATATTTGAAAATTCGTTTGTATATTGATGAAAGTGTATTTTTTCTAAATGAAACACACAATGCTTTTTATTTTTCCAGTCTAAATTACCTGACCACTATTTTACCAGATAACCCCCGGAATAGGGTTATGGATTGTTTTTGAGTTGTCCATTTTTTCCCCAGTGTGTCCACATGTGTCAAACTTTAAAAACTAACATCTCACTTTATCAAGGACTACATTTACAAGTAGAAAAGTGTGCCTGACAATTGTTAATATTTTGGAACAGTTTTACAGGAAACACTCCCTATTGTTGAGTCAACTACAGACTTTTTTATGCAGGTAAATTAGGGTCTATTTTTGATTTGATCACAGTTCACAATACAATAGGCTACAACCCTTCAATGTTCTACTTTTTTATTTTGAACACTGAATTATAGATAAATGAACAGGCAACATCAAAATAGTTCAGTAATGCTGAGTGATTTCTGGAGAGCAAAAGCTGAAGGCAGCCTGTAAACAATGTATGCAAAATTCATGTACAGTCAATTCTCGATAAACCGCCACCTTTTGTAATTTAGAAATCATGGCGGTATAACGAATTTGGCGATGAATTGAATTTCCCATCTTCTGGAAAACAAGAAGAAGAGTTACCGTTCTTAGAAATACCATTTAGCGTTTCTGTTCTTATTATTACATGTACATGTATATAAAACATATTTCTGATTGAAAATACTCCAAGTAATATTTTTAATGTAAAAATTCGCTATTTAAAACAAAATGTGCAGTTATGAAACAAAGACAAGTACTTCGCTTCACTGACCACACTCACCTGTGGCGGTATATCGAGATAATTGACACTCAAAAATGGACATTTGTTGTGAAAACAGGGTGGCGGATGGCGGTATGCGAGTTTGGCGTTATAAAGAGAATTTTATATAGCAGGAAAAACATTCTTAGGAAATCATGGCGGTATTGCGACAATGGCGATGAATCGAATGGCGATAATTCGAGAATTGACTGTATATGGAAAAAAGTTATGTTTCTAAAATATTCAATGCTTCATTATAAGCAATATTATCATAAGATTGCTAAGATTTTTTTAGCACCAACAACCTGTTTGTGTGTTCTAAGTGATATTTATAAAATTATGGGTTAAACAGTAAATTAAAATGTCACTGTACTTCATTAACACTGAATATACATGTACCAGCAGGTGGTTTTGGGATAGAAGTACAAATGTAGTAACTATGAGGTAATCATACAATCATTGTTTTGTTTAATTTTTTTTTTGGGGGGGGGGGGTATCATTATTTGTGGATTGAAGTAAGTGAACTCTCAGAAAAAAAAGAGTTTGAAATAATGAATCAATGAACATGTAGAAAAACAGTGTTTAAAGGAAATAGTAAATATATTTTGGGACTGTACTCCATAAAGATCAGTTTATATAGGATAAATTTGAGCAATACAATATGTTCATGTTTGCACTGTAAACTGTAGATTAATACAGCATTTCTTACAGACCAGTATTATACTGGATTTATTGGAGCAGTACAATATATCGTAGTAGTACTTGGTATATAAATCACAGATTGGGAGCAGTAGCCTATATTATATTTCAGGGACTGTTCTCAATAAATATCAGTATCAGATAGATTAAATGGAAGTAGTTTTTTTACTTAATGTAATATGACACACAGATACATAATTCTGTGCATCGATTTTTTATTTCAATGAAAGGTGTAGCCATGGTAACTAAAAATAGAATTGGAAATTCTTTTAAAATGCTTCTCCTACAGTTTTTGGCACACGATTACAAATTTTACAATATAATTTGGCACACAAGTAGACTATACTAAGATACATAATTCTGTGCATCGGTTTTTATTTTGATGATTGGCAAGGATCATTTTCTATTTATTGCTGTTTTAAAGTTTCAAGTCCCAACTGCTACTTTTCTCTTCCTTTGTTTTAAATATAAACCAGTAGAGCTACAGTCTCGACAGAGACTTCTGGTTACTTAATGTAAATCAGCAGTATTGGATAGAATATTAACTAAAATTTTACAATTCAGTTTGCACTAGTGTAGATCAATGCAAGAATTCCGACTTTAACTAGTGTAGATTGGTACAATATTTTGAGGATTGTGTGGTGTACAACAGTATTGGATAGGATTAATGGTTGCTGTACAATATTAAGGGACTGAACTTACAATGTAGTATAGATCAGTATTGGATAGAATTAATGGGAGTAGTGCATGTGCAACATGATAGGGACTTTATTCAGTATACACCCCAGTTTGATAGGATTGATGGGTGCTGTACAATAATTTTAGGTCTGTACTTAGTATAGATCAGTATTGTTTGGGATTAATGGGAGCTGTTCAATATTTTAAGGATTGAACTGCATTTAGTATTTTATAGGATTATTGGATGCTGTACTATATTTGATCAGAGATACTTATAGTACTCAGTATAAATCAGTATTTTATAGGATTAATGGGAGCTGTTAAACATTTAAGGGACTACACTTATAGTATAGATCAGTATTGGATATAATAAATAAGAGAAATGAACTAGCTGTCAGTCTGACTTTTGGTTCTGATTTTTTTTAATCTTTTAACTTATTTACATTCATAATTATAATCTGTGTATTCAACTTAAATATTTGGTGGAAAATTTATTTGGGATCTAATCAAGTATTTAAGAATTATAATAATATAGTCACAATATATTGTATGATAATTAAAGCATGTTAATGTTTTATATAGTGCATATAACTTTGGTACATGTAAGTTCAAATAAATGTAGCCATTTTGAAAGAGCTATGGATTTAATTTTGCTCTAGCCACATTAGATTTTGCTTGCAGTCTCCCCCTGACTCCCAATTTTGAGTTGTGTGGTTTTGTTTGCACTACACATGCCACAGATGAAATCTGAAGTGTTAAGTTCTTTAGGTTTAAAATCCTAACTTTCCCATCCATGCACATGTATCCCTTTTCATGAATTAATTATTATAAAGTATCTTCATTTTTCTCTGCTTTTGTAAGTACATGTATCTCCTTATCATAATGCATAAATTTTACATATACATTGTACATATTTTGCTTAGTTTGTAATCGATTTTTATTATTTTGCTACAAAAATTATCTGGCCTAGCTTTGTAGTTAAAAATAAAATTGTACGTTTTTATAAATTTAATGATTCTGCTGTTAAAAAGGTATTAGGTTTCTCACAGAGTTTGTGTTTAGGAACAATTTTTGACATTTCTTTGAGAATAAAATTTGATTTTAAAAATCTTAATTAATTATTTAAAATTGATTCAATAACTATATTCTGGTTTTGAAAAAAATGTTTTGGGAAAATACGCATTTTAAGTGTATCTTATCATCCATCAAAGCATATTCTGTAGTTGTATATATATATATGCAACCTATCCCGCATCAACTGACATAAATAAAATGTTCATAAATTTTTTTTTATTTACTAATATTAATTTTAAAAAATTTGAATTGACTAAGTAGCCTGGTTTAAACATAAACATGTATGTGAATGAGATGCAGCCTGAATTTGTTTTTTGATTAATACTCAGAATTTAGAGTTGACTTTTATGATAATGACTATGCACTTATAGATACATTGCTATCTGAAATAAAGTGAAGACAATTTATGGAATTTACTGTTTTATGACAAGTAGTGCGAGGGTCATGATTTAGATATTTATAATTTTTATCTATTGAGATTGAACACGTCACTGATGGCCATGATTTACGTGTTCTGCTTGCGATTGTAAATGTTTATGGCATATGTACTTGACTTTTTAAAATTTGAGTGCCTGTTTATCAGGATACGGTGTCTACTGCTATTTACTAATTTAACAACAGTTCTGGCATCAAGGGAAAAATGTTACACCTGATCATAGTATAAATAATAAAGATAGTTCTTAAAGGGAAAGTTAACAGACAAAATCTGTAGAAAAAGTTTTAAAGGAGCTTAATATTTTGCAATGAATTTTCATGAAATTGTATGACATAATGCTTGCATCCTACAAGTGTAAAAAGCAACATATGTATGTATGTATCTGCAATTATAGTTAAAAATTTTTCTGCTGATTTATATGAAATATTTTTCAATGCCTTTGATCAATCAGAACTCACTTAGATAAATGATATTGATGTAGGCTTTCCACAAAATGTATGAGCATGTTAATTATACTCAAATGGCCTTCAAGTTTCTACAATAATGACATACATATAGTTTGATGATTATACATGTAATGATGATTATAATGAAGTTGTTGACAATGATTCTATTCCTTTCAGTCGCAGAGAAAAAGTGGAGGTGACCTTGACCCTGGTGAAGTTGACCTCTCCGTGACCAAAGTCTTCCCCCAGAACAAATGGGTATGACCTATTTACAGCATGGACCAATCGCCTCCTAATGCATGAAAAACTTTCTACTTGGCATGGCTGAAATATTTCATCATACACAACTCTGAACTCACAGCCATTGTGTTCTTTGATAGCCCTGAATGATGTATTATTAGTAAGGTGTAATTGTAACACTTCTGTTTCATATGCATGGGAAATGCTGGCATATTTGTTGAAAGAGTGACATCATTGAATATATATCTGAATTAGATTGTTACTTATTGCCAGTATGATAGACATTTTTTTTTTATAATTTTATACCAACAATACAAGTACACAGTATTTCTAGACACAATGAGCTACTCTGACCCCAACTTGTGTCCTGAACTCATAACTTGGTAAAATATTTGTATGGGTGTGAATGTGTGTTTGTTTTTAAGCTAAATACTCAAAACAATTTACAGAATATTTGTTTTAGCCAATTAAACCTCCATTGCCCCATCTTGTCATTTCTATAATCATGTAACATACATGTAGTACCCTGCTGTTTTTTAAGAATGTTTATTTTTTGAATATCAATCACATGCAATGATTTTAACTTCACCAGTATAATAGCTAATATGTTTGATTTCTGATTAACTTTTATTTCAAAGCTTTAAATATTTTGCCAGGTTTGAATGACATTATTAAAGATCATAGGTAACACATTAACAATTAAATCTAATTCAATATTAAACCAGGAAAATAATAATTTAATACAATTTTAGCTAAATCTCAATATTAATCTAATAATAAATCTCAGTATTAATCTAATGATAAAACATTTTTTTTTTTCATTTTAAAATTTATGCATATTGGGATATATGTACATGTGTAGTTAATATTGAGGAAACTTTCCCTTATTTTATCTGCCAAATAAAACAGGTGGTCTGTTTCTATTATTAGCTCTCATATACAGTTTTTTCCTGTTAAAACAAATTTGGCTATTTTGGTAGAAAGGTCCATCAGTAACGTATGATGTGAACAGTCAGGAAGTAGCTATTGTATCTCCGCCCAAAGATCAAAGTGACCCAGGGCTTAAAAGACAGGGGAGTAGATTAAGGAGGACTTTTCAGCGGGTCCGCAGCAAATGATAGAAAATGAAAGTGTTCTGCAGCAAATGAGTACTAGTCCAAAAGTTTTTTTTAGGTCATCTAGTCCAAAACAAATATTAAGTTTTATATTTACATAACTTTTCAATTCAAATTTGTTATATTAGGATTTATAAAAGATTGGGGAAAATACCAATACAAATCATTTTTTGAATATAGAAATAAAAGAAACATGCATTGAAAAATCATATATTTTTACAGTTTAATAAACATTCCAAAAGTACATTCATTTGTATAAGATGTATTTCCTCTTTTGTAACTTTATAGCATCAGCAGTGGATGAGTGTTTTCATTAGATAACATAAAAAGTCTGAAAATGTTAATTATACTTTTTTAGTGATATAAGAAATTAAAACTTTTAGTCAGCATTTCATTAAAGGAAAAGAACATAATGTCATTGATGATGAAGATAAATTTAAAAGAGCTATAAAAGACACACATTTTTATTAACACATTTTAAAATACCACATACAGTAAAACTCGTTTAGTACGAACACGGATATAGCGAATTCACGGATATAGCGAAGTTTTTCTGGTTCCCCGGCAAAATTCTGAAGAAATCCTTGTAAAATTTTACGGTTATAACGAACTCTGATATAACGAATTTACGGATATAGCGAACTGATTTTGGTTCCCGTTGAAGTTAAATATAATGAAATTTACATCTTTTATAACGAACTTTCAAAGATCTCAAAGTTTGATAAATTGTACGGACTAATTTTTGTTCATGCAATTGTTTATAAAATTCAATTCACAATACAACCTAAGTCATCCTAGGTATGTTTTGTAATATTTCCTTCCCTAACATATTTAGTAGTAATATTTGAAGAAAAAAATGCATATTGCGAATTCGCTGTATATGGGTTTACGAATTCGTTATACGGTTATAACGAATTACGGATATAGCGAATTAAATTCACAGGTCCCCAGGACTTCGCTATAACCGTGTTTTACTGTACATATTGTAATTGATTAAATTCCCCTACGTATTAATTATTAAATAGCGTGCACCATGTTTTTTTCCTTACCTGACACTCGGGGCATTTATTGTCTAATGCAGGTCCCATATTGCTAAAATAAAGAAGAAAAGTCTTTAAAAATTCATAAGGACACAAATTGTATTAATGAAAGATTTAAAATTTGAATTTTGTCTAAAATTAGGAGATAGTAAAATTTTTAAGAACAGCAATATTATACTGTATTCATCTGCTACCTATTTTTTATGTATTGAATAAGCCTATTTTAATTCTTTTTATTATAAACTTAATGCTAAACCTCAGTTTATATTTTCAGTATCAAATTATTTATTTAATTATCAGTATTTTCACCCAAAAGTGTAAGTTTGCCATAAATCATGAAGATCTCAATTTTCTTGTCATGAAACCAGTTTACACATATAAAGATGTGATGTGAAATGTAATTGTAAAATAGTCAAGAGTGTTTAGTTTCACAATGAAGAAAAAAAACACTCTTTTGATGTCAAATTATTTACGAAATAGAATAAATTTAAAAGCTTTAAATATTAATGTTCAACTTGGACTATTTCTCAGACAATACCCACTTTATAGAATATACATCATATACCCGTAAATAAAACCTTAACAGATTTATCAAAATTTTATGTGCTACTTAATATCATCTCACCTTTAAAGATGTTTTTTTTCAATTCTACATGTGCATAATGCCAGAATATGTACTTACATTGTTTACTTATTATTGAACAGTAAAAAATTCTGATTTGTACGGTGTAGCTTTAACCACAAATAAATTGCTTTAAAATGACTGTGCTATGGCTGTAACTTGTGAAACTGACAACAGAATGAAATGTGATTTAGTTTGTGATGTTGTATGTATAAGTCAGTAGAGGAATTTTCCGTTATAGTTATGAATAACAAACTGCTTGTTACTGATAGATTTTTATATTTTATTATGTCTTGTATGTTTGCACTTTTATATCATGCATGAATTACGTTCCTTTTTTTAATTTTGTAAACATTTATATTTTCATTATTGTATGAATGTATCTAGTATACAAGTTTTACAGTGCTGAACATCACTTATTTTTAAAATAACGGGATCAGATTTTTGTAGTTTGGGAAAATATTACTTCCTGGGATTTAATCTCCTGGTCTTAGACATGAACAGGGTAAATTTCTTCAAAATTCTCTATTTCTTGGAATTTCTTAATGTGTGGTTCTCTTCATGCCAAAAACTCAACAAAAATTCACACACCCCTAAGCCACCCGCTTAGGGGTAAGCCACCCGCCCATCCCATGGCTGCTAAAAATAAGTGATTCAAAGTAGTAGCAGGTAGATATAAATTTTTCTTGGCCCATCAAATTTACAGTTATAAATATGTATCTAGTACATGGATGGGTTTTTTTCTGAAAAAGTTAAAATTTTTAGATGTTAAAAAAAAATCAGTATTAAAATTTATTATGTGAAACTTGTAAGTGAATTGAAATGCAAGAAATTTACCACTTACTTACTATGCATGTCCATACTTTAATTAGTTCTCTCAAAGATACTACAGGAACATGCATATTTATGTGTACTGTATTGCATAACTTGTGTAGAAAATGTAGAACTAGCAAATACTTACCATACATTTTACTTGAATCTGCACTTTATAAGCGTATCTTGTTAGTTGTATTTGTATTTATATTTTGTATACACATGTTTCTGTATGTATGTACATGTATGTATGTATATGTTGTGTATTATACATGTAGCTTTTTCTTCAACCTCTCTGCAGAACTTTACTCGCTAAGCAAATCAGGTTGTTCTGTTCACTGAAATTATCTTGTATTAGATGAACTAGAATGAAAATTGTGTATATGTTGCTTTAAAAATCATTCGATAAACTGTTTTGTCCTCATAAAATACACACAAAGTCTTCATATCTTAAAAATGTCAGTCATGCAGAATTTCAGTTGACTCAAATTAATATTTGTGACTCTTTTTTAGAATAATGTGATAACAGATTTTTAAAGAAGCATAGTATAGAACATACATATATGATATACATTTACATGATTTATTTATTATGTACATGTATACATGACTATATGTAAGTCAAATTTCTTGTCAAAAAGCACTATTTGAAATCCAATCTAGACCATATTTTAATTAGTATTGTAAGTGTTTAGTGAATAACGTTGTGTTTGGAGAATTTTACATGATTAAATTTTTACAACAGTACAAACTTTCTGAAGACTTAACTGTCGTAATCTACAAATAAAACCTTTTAAATTTTTTTGTATGTATTACCTTCCTACATTTATGTATATCTTTTTAAGATTGTTACATTTTGTTGTAAGTTTAGAAAAAACTTTCTTTTTATGGTTCAGATAAAAATTTCAGAAAATGATTAGGGCCAGTTTTTGTTTATTATCAAATAAAAAGTTTTAAACAAGCTATGCTACTTTTTTGTTAGTAGAAAAAATTGTTGATGAAGTATATATTGTCAAGAAAATGACTTAAGGAGGCTGGAGGTCAACAAATTCACCACAAATTAACCACCAGATTTAACTTAATTTTTTAGATATGGTATCTTAAGTTGTCAACTATCATTTGGCAAAGAAAAAATTCACACATTCTAGTTTTGAAATTTGATCATTTTTGTATATCTTTATGTTGAGCTCTTCTTTTAAAGGAGATCGAAATAGTCTGAAAATGGCTGTGGCAGCCATCTTTAAGAAGCTGTAGCTACATATAGTAAAATGACCTTTTAGAAGCTTGTAATGCCTTAATGGAAAATTATTGAGTGGAGGGAAAATTAAGTCATCAATTCTTGTGGCTTAAGATCACCTGATGTACAGTGTTTTACTACAAAGAGTAGGATAGATACGAAAAATAGACTGAGACACACATTTTAAAGGTTATATGAAAATAATGAAAATAATTTCTGGGTCATAACTTCGTTATCAAAGTTGTATCTGCTTCGCTATTTCCTGTGTATTCAACAATTGGTCAGAATGAATGAAGCTTACGTTTCCAAGACTAGACTCCGAACTTTTAATTTCTAATGTACTCATGGGAACTGAAGACGTGGTGATTGAATGGTATATTCAAGTAAGATTTAAAAATTCTCGGATAAATTACACTCTAATCGGGAAAAAATACCGGTAATTAAAATTAGCTGATTGGTATACTAGAATGAGGCAAAAATTGCAGCTTTATGCAGTGCTTTGCGAAAATTTAACAATGCTTTTACTAAATGTTTTACCAAAATATTTAATATACAATGTGTGTGTATAATTATTATTAAAAAAATCGCATTTCTTCTACAGGATGATCGATTAAGTAAGTCAATGTTTGTCAAGAAAACAGGCCCTGTAAACACAGACAGACAGGCAGGTGCATCAGCCCCATATGCCCCATATGTCATGCACAGTCAAAGTATGAGGGGACCAAGAATGGGGGTGTACTTCCCTCAGAAGCCGCGACAGCCAGGCACTACCCCCAGTGGGGAACTACCAAGCAGAGCTACCCTTCCTGGAGATGTCAAACCAAGGAAAGGGGAAAAACCTGAACCCAAAGCAAAACCTCCTCTCACAAAACAACGAAGCTGGTTTCTGTGGTAGAGGCTGAAAAAGTGTAACCAACACAAGCTCATTAGTCCCCTCTTTCGTTAAGATCTGTTTTGTTCATTTAGATATTGATCAAATTATATTTGCCTTTCTTTACTAAGTGAGTACATTACGTATTTTTAAAGTAAATCAGGTAACAAGGATAACGTAAATTATTTCCTTTGGGAATATTTCTTGAGAGCACTATGCCCAGTCTTCCATGCAACAGGTTTAACCTGACCTTTTTTGTTGTTGTCCATATATTGATGTCGTGGTTCAGTTTGGTCTGCTGTAGATCTAGGCTTTGACATTCCGAGTCAAGTAAAATAGTGTTAATGTAAACCCAGCCTTCTGACTTTCTGAAAACTTAAACCCAACTTTATCACATAGTAAAATATCCCCAGTCTTGTGACAGTATTACGTAAATCTATTATGTCTTCTGAAACTCGAGGCAACTTTAAACTATAGCTTTATAACACTGTGTAAACCTAGTTATTAGATAAGGCCAGTTAACCTAGTTACTGACAATAGTCTGCTGACATAAACGTGACATTGTGACAATCAATTTTTCGAAACCCTGTTCTGCTAGATTACAGAGTATTATTTACCTGGTCTTCCAAATATCAGAGTAATGTAAACCTAGTCTACTGACAGTTAAGTGTAACGTAAGCCTACTTTCCTAACTGACATTGTTACGTTAATCTACTCTGTTGACTATCAGACAGACTGACAGAGTAACGTAACCTAGTCTTCTGACAGAGTAACGTAAACCTAGTCTTCTGACTGACAGAGTAACATAACCTAGTCTTCTGACAGAGTAACGTAAACCTACTCTTCTGACTGAAAGAGTAACGCAAACCTAGTCTTCTGACTGACAGCGTAACGTAAACGTAGTCTTATGACTGACAGAGTAACGTAAACCTAGTCTTCTGACTGACAGAGTAACTTAACCGTCTTCTGACGGACAGAGTAACGTAACCTAGTCCTCTGACAGACAGAGTAACGCAAACCTGGTCTTCTGACTGACAGAGTAACGTAACCTAGTCTTCTAACTGATAGAGTTACATAAATCTAGTCTTCTGACTGACAGAGTAACGTAAACCTAGTCTTCTGACTGACAGAGTTACGTAAACTTAGTCTCCCAACTGACAGAGTAACGTAAACCTAGCCTTCTGACTGACAGAGTAACGTAAATCTATTCCTTTGACTGACAAAGTAACGTAAACCTAGTCTTCTAACTGACAAAGTAACGTAAACCTAGTCTTCTGACTGACAGAGTAACGTAAACCTAGCCTTCTGACTCACAGAGTAACGTAAACCTAGCCTTCTGACTCACAGAGTAACGTATATTTAGACTTCTGACTGACAAAGTAACGTAAACCTAGTCTTCTGACTGACAGGGTAACGTAAACCTAGTCTTTTGACTGACAATGTAACGTAAACCTAGTCTTCTGACTGACAGATTAACGTAAACCTTGCCTTCTGACTGACAGAGTAACGTACATTTAGACTTCTTACTGACAGAGTAACGTAAACCTGGTCTTCTGACTGACAAAGTAACGTAAACCTAGTCTTTTGACTGACAAAGTAACGTAAACCTAGTCTTTTGACTGACAAAGTAACGTGAACCTGGTCTTCTGACTGACAGAGTAACGTAAACTAGTCTTCTGACTGACAGAGTAATTAACCGTCTTCTGACGGACAGAGTAACGTAACCTAGTCTTCTAATTGACATTAACGTAAATCTAGACTTCTGAGTGACAGAGTAATGTAAACCTAGTCTCCTTACTGACAGAGTAACGTAAACTTAGTCTTCTGACTGTCATAGTAATGAAAATTGACTTACTTTTTTGACAGATTAATGTTAACTTCGACTTCTGACTGTTTAAGTAACGTAAATCTGCTCCATACAGTCTTTATAACATTAACATGTTCTACTGCCTGTTAATGTAACAATCTGCTGACAGAGTAAGGTAATCCATCTTACTGTCGATTTTCAGTGTAACCTATTACCTGGCCTTGTGACCCAGAATAACATATATCGAGTCATCTGCAGTCGAAGTTATTTTTTTGCTGTAAGAGTTTTAATGTTGCTTTATCTTCTACCAAATTATGGGAACCAGTAAAACACAAGGCATCATTTTTAAGTTTAAGGGTCCAAATAATTTTTAAAGATTTAGGTATAACTGTTAACATATTTATTTTAAACAAAATGTTTTATAAAAGTTTTAATGGTTCAGTAAGAGAGAGGACACATTTACAGTGTAAATCCTTTCGAGGATCGTCAAGACTATATTGGAGCTGCTATTTCAATTTGGGATTAAGCAATTAAGTGATCCAATATTTCTTTAACATGTTTAACACGTCTCTCCCAAAAATATTACAATTTGATTAATTTGTGGTGGCTTCTCTTTCAATTCCAAACATTTTTTATACTGTATCTCTATGTACAAAGAGATAAAACTCCTAGTGACAATGAATTTTGCAATATTTTGTTTATTTTATTATTTTATTTTACTTATCCACGATTACAGGGTCTGAAGACAGTTAATGAACATTTGTATGTGCCATGCTATAAAGTATTGATTCTATTGTGCAAATTCTGCATCTAAAATGTGATAAACAAAGCTGTAAATTAATGTAAATAGCTTATTTAGAACTGTTGTGTAAAATTATCTCGTGTTATCGTTTCTTGTTGCTTATGACTTGCATGTATTATACAAGTTTATTTTTTATGGATTAAAATATATTATGAAATAAATTTGCATAAATTATGTAAACTATCGCGTCTTCAATAAGAGTTTGTGTTTCTGTTATAAACAAGCAAATTCAATGAATTGTGGTCCCTCCGCTTTCGGTGTCTTTGTGGTCGAGATGTCATTTTTAAGACATTTTAATATGTCAAATATGAACGCCTTTCATAGGTCATTTAAACGTTATCACCGCAGTTGATTTTTTTTTCGATTTGGTCAAGGGGTCAGAATTTTTAGCATACACATAGCATAAAAATATCGTGTCACAGGCCTATATCTTCTCAATCAAAAGTTATAAGAAAAATTAAAATTCTTGAATTGTAGTTCAAACTTCAAGGTCAGATGATAAAAAATCATCGTGTATCTAGAAAGATCTTGTCGCAGGCAATACACAGGTTTAATATGAAAGCCCTATCTCTTTTCATTCAGAACTCATGACCAGGGTTAAAGTACGGTAGGTCAAACTTCAAGGTAACAAGGTGAAAAATCATATGTTAATTGTTTTGAAAAGTAGGTCAAACCTGAGGGTCAAGGTCATGTGGTCAAAATCATAGTGTATTATGAAAGGTCTTATCACAGGTAAAATACATGTGTAATATGAAAACCTTTAAGTCATCTGTTCTCATTCCAAAATGCAAAGTTTATGTTTTTTTATTGAAGGACAGACTGACAGACAAATGAGATTTAAAGGACTCCGACCCTCAGCCAGGACGGACAACTCTTTTATTTATAATTTAATTCAAAAAGTCTTTAAATGAAGCTTGAAAATTAAATCTTTTCATGCAACAATTTTCATTATATGCCTCTCAATGTGCTTCAAGGTTCTTTGAACTTCTCAGAAAGGTCTCATTAAAAGTAGAAATTTTTATCCAGAAAAATCATTTTTAGATACCAATGTTTATTAACATGATATGAAATTAGAAGTGATTTATGGAGCTTTGCAAAGAACCTTGAAGCACATTGAGAGGCATATAATGAAAGTTGTTGCATGAAAATATTTAATTTTCAAGCTTCATTTAAAGACTTTTTGAATTAAATTATAAATTAAAGAGTTGTGTTTCCTAGCTGAGGGTCGGAGTCCCTTAATGTCCCCTGCTGTCGCGTAAGCGGGATTCAATAAAGAACCTATACCAGTATGTACCTTTAATAAATGTAGCAAGTACATGATGTCATTCTCCTGACGAAGAAGGTACAGCTGATATAAGTTATGAGTTCAAGAATAATTGAATTAATATTACAATTATTAGTAGGCCCATTTGTTACAACGCTTACCTTACACATTTTGATAGCTGCCAACTGAAATTTTCTTTTATACATTGTATAAGGTTACCTTTTGAGATCTTGTTGGCGATCTAAAATTGGCTTTTAGTACCTAATTATGAATACTGAAAAAAGATATTGACAAGTTTATTTATCAAGAGTAGCTTAAGAAAGATTTACAAAATACAATTGGTTAAAACACGACATATTCCTGTATACTCGTATTTGACTGTCATCTTTATTCTGTAGAGGGTCAGACTTAAACAATCTGCTCACCATCGTCGAACCTTTGCTTTAATGTAGCATATTAAGCAGTCAAAAAATGTTATGAGGTAGAAATGCTATAGAGCATGATATTGGTAATGTTCGCCTTTATGCGCATCTCAAGGAACACAATGACTATATTTCCATCAATAATAAGTCCTGTCAGTTTGAATGTGTATGAAGTTCCGTTTGTGATTGTTTGAGGGATGATAAATCAGTAACTTAGAAAGTCGACAACCGCCTGGACACGGTGACCAGTACACACATCAAGGGCGCTAACTCGGATCTCTGTTTCTCCAAACACCATCCTGGTTTGAATTTCCCTCCTAGATAACTCGCACACAGAATCTTCCTCCAAATCCAAAGAAAGAATGCCGCATTTCTTTACTCCCTTCTCCGTGATAAAATGTGTGTCTGGATTTTCTGCAGAGTATATATTAATCTGTATTTGCTTCTGATTTCGACAGGCTGGTTTGTAGCTCCTTAATATAACATCGCCTAAGGCCATGGGCTGGTCTTCAAGAACAAATTTATCAAAAACATCCATACACCATTCTGTGTCTTCTTTGACCATTTTCTTTTCCACCGGATGTAGGTCAGGTCTGAAGGTGTTTAGAACACCCAGTCCGTACGTCACACGTGATTTCCTTATGTGGACGACAGTAGGGTCTAGTCCAAACAACACAGAACCTGTAAAGTACAGTCAACATTCAATTACTGGTAACGTGGAAACAAGTTTTCAATACAGTCAATATTCACTCTTAGATAATTTTAATTAAAAAGATTTGTATTTACTACTGTAGTATATTGCGTCTGGGGAGGTCATTTCAACACATCAACATACATATCATGAATATCAGTACTAATTTTGATTAGCCTGTAATCTACATATATAACGCTCTTGAACCTTTGAGTATCGTAAGCCCCACTCCCTGTGGAATGATCACTTTTAACAGCGAACCAAATTCTTTCCTGATTTCATCTTGTAGAACTGCTGACTCAGCAAAGCCTCCAACGAGGAACATATAATTTAGATCTATTGAATAATTTGAAAAATAAGTTAAATAACATAGAAACCTTAGTATCAAGCACGAACTGTGGCTAGTTCTTTCATTCAAAAATACACAAAAATGAAATTTATTTTCTAGAGCAGATAGCCTCGCTTAATTGCGTTAATAAATAGTTATCGCGAATAAAAAGCTAGCTACTGTATAAGCGCCATTTTATCTTTAGAGTTTGAGGCAAACAATTTATGGAAAAATTAACTGATTATTCCTGTTCTAGTATATACTGTATTTACCCCTAGCTCCTCTAGCGTTAAGTACATCCCCAACAGCCTGTTTGATTTTGTTTATTGTTGGAAGGAATAGCCTCTTCATCGCTTCCGGTGTCAGACGGAGCATGCCCAGACGTGACCATTGGATATCTTTATCACCATACCTTTTAACGATGTGCTCCATACTGATAAGCTATCATATATAATATCATATATAATAAAAAAACATCCTTTTACATTTAAACAATATTTTTATTCAGTATATAATATTACATATATTTAAAACATTATATGGCACGAGACAGCAATGATTCGGCAAAATAATCATGGAATAGAAGTGTTTGGTTAGATTACCTTGTGCTTCCTACAGTAATCGATAAACGAAAACGGAAGGGCCACATTAAGGGGAGATGACTTGTGTGGGCTGGCTGAGCGTTTTCTGGACTCAAAAGCAATCATCAAATCCACCCATCCGGCGGGACACTTCTGTCGGTAATTTTCCATCAAGTTCTTACCAAATATCATATCAAGAACCTTCTCAAATTCCAAATCGATACCTGATATTTGTAAAGAGATGTTAGACATATTATTCTTATATAGACAACGATCTAAATAAAACATGAAGTACTATAATATCCTGGCAGTTTTTCTTTTCATATGATTTGTTCCAAGTAAAAATGCTATATGCAATATTATATCGTAAATGTTATAAAATTATAGATGTGACATACAATCTAATTTTTCACTACTTCTGACCTTACCTATAAGCCATTGATCCTTATTAAGGACCCTTTTCCTTTTTGAACAGCTTCTGATCTAACACACACATCCTTAAAACCTTCTGAATCTCTGTTTTACTCTGACAACCTCTGGCCTTACCTACTGTCCTATTACAGCCCCCGAAACCTCTGTATAACTCTATCAGCCTCTATTCTTATCCACTGATCAGTAAGACTTAGTAGATTCAAGAACTCAGTCCCTTTGGTCTTACCTACTGACCCATAAGGGCCCCCTGAGGCTCTGTATAGCTCTGTCAGCTTCTCTCCTTTATCAACTTGGTGTACAGTTATATCGACAGTTCCCCCTCCACAATCTACAACCATGTAACGACTGCCTACAAAAAGAAATCGCTATATAGAATATACACGTCAAAGGAATTATATTAAAATAAAGAAAATCAAGCTTTATTATGGACCTCAGCATCTCGAACTTGATTGAACCGAGTAAAAAATATATATATCTGAGGATAGGTAATAACAAAATTAATACAGAACTCTGAAAACATAGGTCGGAACAGGTACATGTACTTCGGAGGAGTAGGCATAACCTTTCGACCGGTCATATCGTGTGCCACTTATATTAATCAGGTAAATAGATAATTCAGTTCGTACACTAACGAAAAATTATATTTGCAAAAGTGATTATTGTATGTACTATAGAATTTGAGAAATGATGTTTTAAACAAGAACATTTTTGATATCCTTGTACCATCAACTCATTTGTCAGAAGCCTACATTGTTTTAGAAATTGTTTGAATATATGATGTGATTAAGTTTCTTATCATCCGAGTGACCTTATCCTACAAGTAGTTGATGATGTTACATGTTTATTGCTGTACTGTATAAATAAAGGAAGTGAACGATATCAAAGTTATCAAGTTTAGTAGTTTACTGTAAATTTTAGTTGTTAGTTTGTCAACAATGGGTTTTTTTTTCGTAAAATAACAAAATACTTCCGCTTTTCAAACAGAAGTTTTATAAATGAAATCTGTTTTATAAGAATAAAAAGGTCTTATAACGGAGCACAATAAAACGCAATGTGATTTGAATGTATGAATAAAATACGAAGAATTAATGAAAGATACAGTGTAGTAATTCAAATATTTCCCCCTGTATATAAAAAGAAATCATGTAGTCATCAAAATCTATTTACACCAAACAACAGAAATAAAAATAAAGAAAGCATCCAATGACAACGTTTCGTACGGAAAAGAGGGTGGGTCTTAAGTCGTCTCATCGCTGTCAACAGCAGTTTAGTGTTGCTGATGTTATTACCGGCCGCCAGGAGGCGGTCGGTTAGTTGATATGAAAGTTTTAAGTCTCCGTGCGTTTCTGCGGAGTTAGAACAATTTGAATAAAAATATTTAATAACATTCTTATTATAGAATATTGAACAAAGATATTCTAAATGTTTAACAAAAAGCACAATTATCATAAAATAATTTTTTTTAAATAGTTGGGTAAATATTTCATCCAATCCTGATTGACAAACTCTGACAATCTCATGTAGGCATAGTCTAAAACAAAGACCACATTGTATATCAACAATTTTACTTTCTCTTTTTAAACAGCCTAGACAGGATTTGTTGTATTTATTTTAAAATGCCGTGCATATTTATACATTTCCTATGGAAATTTTTCAAAAATTTGATGAAATATTGATTTCTTAAAAGCACAGAATCGTACGACAATTTTGTCCATGAGACTAGGATATAGCGCGATTTTACAATGTGCCAAGCATTTTCCCGCCACATCTCAACACCAAAACAAAGAGACTGAAAGAAGAAATGTAGTGGTGGATCTAGATGGATTTGGGGGGTTGTTAACATCCTCTAAGAGAGTCCCACATATTTCATATTTGTTCCGTTTAAATTAAAGTAAAACTATAGCTAAGTTTAAACTTTAGTTTTGTACTTTTATTACCGGCCGCCAGGAGGCGGTCGGTTATATGATATGAAAGTTTTAAGTCGCTGTGCGTTTCTGCGGAGTTAACAATTTAAATAAAAATATTCAACATTCATCATATTCATATCGCTGGCGAGTCAATATTAAACAAAGGTTGTCTAAATGTTTAGAAAAAGCACAATAATCGTAAAATTAAAATTTTATAAATAATGGGGTAAATATTTCATCCAATCCTGATTGACAAACTCTGATATAACTGAAGTGCGGAGAAAATTGGTACGAGTGTTAGACATACCCAGTAGTCTAAAACAAAGACCGCCTTGTAAATCAACAATTTTACTTTCTCTTTTTAAAACAGGATCTGCTGTATTTATTTGAAATGAAGTGTATATTTAAACATTTCCTATAGATGTTTTTCAAAAATATGATGAAATATTGATTTCTTAAAAGCAAAGAATATTACATGTTCGTCCAGGAGACTAGGATAGAGCGCGTTATACAATGTGCCAAACACTTTCCCGCCACATCTCAACACCAAAACAAAGAGATTGAAAGAGAAGTAATGTAGTGGTGGATCTAGAAGGAGTTTTTTTTTTTTGGGGGGGGGGGGGTTGAACATCCTCTAAGAGAGAGAGAGCGAGGAGCCCCACATATTATATATTTGTTGCGTTTTTATTAAGGTAAAACTATAGCTAACTTTAAACTTTAGTTTTGTACGTTTTATGAAAAAACTACTTAAACAGCAAACTCACAAGAGTTCGTTAAGTTGTTCCAAACTGAGTGCAGAGACGCAGAGGACTATGCACAGTTCATATTGCCTATACATTTATTATTTATTATTATTATAATTCAATTTATTGACCAATTAAGGGCCCTCGTGGGGCAAAAAGAAAGTACATTGTTAAAATGTATATAATGATTATCATACACATGCGATACAATATACATATGAGGGAAAGGGTTGCTTGATTGATAGGAAAGACATATACAAGTAGGGGAATACCCAAAATATTTTATATGTACAGTACATAAGAATTGTTTTATAGGTATACATGTAATAGTGTACATGCATTATTCATGAAGAAAATCGGCATTGTCGCATGCATTTTTTTTCGTGTCACGAGGATATTTTAACAGAAAAATATAAGAAATTTAAAAAACCCAGCAAATTTCAGTTTCTAAAATAATTTCAACAGTTATATAAATTGGTTTGCGGCCGATTTTTGACGCTTGCGTCAATGTTTCTTGTTAATTTCTTGACCAATGAGAATCTATGTCGTCATTTGAGAGACGATTATTAGGTAGAGTCGAGAATTCTATTTAATTCTCTCTCTATAGATGAGGTGTATACTATAGTAAGTATAAACTAACCTTCTTTCAAATCCTCACAGGCAGGATTTATATTCATTGGCTCAACAGAGGCAAACTTTGGTGACTGAAGAGGGCGCTCTTCATTCATTTCCGGAACAAGCTGGTACATTTTTAACTTTCTGCAGTAGATAGAAGCAGCTTCCGGTTCTAAGGCAATGATCAGCTGCTCCGGACATTGGGAGGAAACCAAACCACCCTACAAGAATCATGTAAATTGTTTAATTGGTCTAATAGCATCAATTTAGTTATCAACATTTTAGAATAAAATTATAGTCATATTGTTCTCATTAAACTGCATCTAAATTTATATCAGTTGTAAGTTTTTGATATAAATGAAAAGAGACGACCGACCTCGTAAGCAGCCTGCCTGATAAACTGTTTAGCCGAAGCTCTCCATATTGCCGGTACACTGATGACCCATCGTACGTCTTCATTGAGAATCTTCATTCCTGATTGGTCACTCAGTTCTTGTAGGGCGTGGTCCCTGAAGAACTTCAGAGCCAAGGAAAATACATTCATCGCCGGGAAAAGTCTTCCATTAGAGGCTTTCAGTAATGTATCCTTGCTTAATTCCTAAAAATATAGAATGTCAATTTTAACAATTAAGAAGCATGAACAATGACTGGATAAAAAATGTTTTGTTCGTTGTTTAACATCCCTCTCGAGAATTGTTCATTCACGTCCCGAAGTGGGATTCAAGCCCGTGACATAAGGACCATCTCTTTATACTGCACGACACTAGTGCAGACTTTCAAACATGTACGCCACACGAGTCTGTTTTCAAAGTTCTGAACCTTTTGATGAACATTTTTAATAGGGAATGAAAGTACTATTTCTCTATATCAGTTCACTGGTATATGGGTAATCCCATTTCGTGGATAAAATGAACCTAGCTCTTCATCTAATACTACAGGGATAACTGATAAAAACAATTCAAGCTATGACATTTATTGTTAAATACATGGAAAGTCTACTTTGACTTCTTACCGGCGTGTTATGGAGGATCATCTTAAACTTTTCAAAATACATCCATGTTTTTGCCTCCTCTTTGCCAAGGTCATGGTAGTTATCCCTAGCGCTGTAGCCAAAGGAGTGGAACTGACCCTCCGGAGTCAGGAGGATGCTGGTGGGGGTCTTCTCATTGATGACTCCTGGGTCCCCGCCCTCCCACTTCCTCATTAAGTGGACATGGGAAGGGTCTCTAGTAAAACTGTAGGCATACCCACTGTACGTGGTGCCAAAGTCGATGGCTACCACCACATGATGGCCGCGGTGTTTTACAGTTTCTTGCTCCGTGGTATCTGCGGAAACACCCAATATGGCGTTATCTAAGGTTTCCAGCACCTGATGAATTTCTCTATTGATGCTGCGTGGACTTTCCTGCTCTGAACAAGCCTGTGTACAGCTATATTGAGGTCCACTTGCAGTTCCTTGCTTTTGAGTGACTTCGGTTAAACCTGCCTTTTCATATATTGTATTGTCATCTTTTTCGGTAATTTGATCCTCATGTACAACATAGTGTTCTTCGTTTGATGACGAAGAACCCAATGAATTTCTCTTAGTATAATCATTTTGTGATTCACTTCCAGTACCTCGGTTTCGGGTGTTTTCCGTTAAACCTGCCTTCTCAAATATAACTTTTTCAGACACATTTACATTTTCTTTCTCAGCATTCTGAACATTGCTTTTATGGTTTGATGAGGTAGAAGAACCCGATGAATTGCTAGTGGTATCATCATCAGAAAGATAGTCTAGAATTTGAAAGAAAGAATTATTAAGACAGCATTCTTCATATTGGAATATGTTTCAGCTACTTATATTTTTATTCAAAATCAGATCTGTAAAATTTCATCTTTAACACGAAATCACTTTCTTTTGTTGTTTTCGTTTTATGAAAGCACCATGACTTCATGTTAAAATATTAAAATAATACAATATATTTATTTAAATTTTTTCTGAACCGACGAAAATTCGACTCCACGAAATATTTTGCAACCAAAGTGTGTGTTGTTAAATAAACTACATTTTATAAAATATCAATACCTAATATACTAAATGGACATCACTACATTAATCGATTTTTAAACATAAGTAGTTCAGTCATACCTTGCTTCCCACATTGACCGAGAGGCGGTTGAGCTGACTTTGTGGGTAAGATGAGGGTATTATTGCTGGCGTATATAGGACCATAGTAAGCAACTGACGTCCTTAGATACCCGGGGCTTTTACCAGCGCTCACAAAACTTTCAGAAGTCATTTGTTTTACTTCAGAGGGTCCAAAATCGTTCCCTGCATAGCTGTCGAGACTTATTTTTTCTATGACATCTGGTGGGCTACTTTGTGGGAGTGGGGGAGGGGTGTCCCCTAGGGACACAGTCCTGTCCAGATTGAGGTTTCCTTTCAAAGCTTTTTGTTTGAGCATTTGAATATCCGAGAGATAACCATTCTCATTTTCAGTGTTGTCCAAAGAAGGTAAATCAGCGGATACTGCTAAAGAATGAGGTGAGATGACTGAGACACACGACTTCTCTGACGGGTTAAACTCAGAGTCCAAAATATAACTGCCTTCTTTGCACGAAGACTCTGAATCTGAGGGGGTCGTTTCTGGTTTGTTTACAGTTCCAGGAAATAGGAAGCTACGCTGGAAATGGTCTGTGGAGTCGAATACCTTATGTGCAGCTTTTGGAGAGTCTGATTCCCCTGAATCTGTTGAAAGGGATGTGTTAAGCTTAGTTCTTCTTAAAGAACTAGAACCATTTTTTACATTAGTCTGGATACCTTCTTCCGAATCGAAAATTCTATTGGTATCTTTTTCCGAGAAGGACAATCTACCAAGTGATTTTCTTTCTACAGATTTGTCCATGAATTCTTGATTTACAGGTTCTGGAAATATTTCCTTAAAAGAAGGCCTTTTGTGTAGCACTTTTTGGATTTTGGATGATTCATCGTCTTCACTATCAGTCGCATTATCAAGTACATGTTCAATGTCCTTTGTTTTGTACTTGGGCTTTGGCGAGGACGATCGTGACCTAGATGAATGGCCTCGCGATGTGGACGAGGATGACGATGATGTCGATGTAGATGATTTTCGGATTTTCTCAGATTTAAGGTCAGATCTCTTACTGCCAAAGCTTGCAACACTTGGAGACTTATTGGAGGCTCGACAGTTTCTAGCATGAGAGGACGAAATGTCTCCCAAAGATATTATATCCCTCTCTGGAACAAAACTAAAAGCAGAATCCCCCGAGACTGTTATTTCTCTCAAATTCCCTGATCGAGCTGAAAAGTCGTCTAAATTTGCATTTGCATCCACATCGTATCCTAAATCCAAAGAAAAACTATGGGGTAAATTCAATGAATTTCTCAACCGGGCCTTCTTCAAATTGCTTAAACTCTGTCCTCTGGTTATTTGTTCCCTGTTATAGTCTTCTCTGAAGGAACTAGAAGCCAAAATGTGACTAAGTGGACGCTGTCTTGCCTCGAATTTCTGTTGCCTTAGTTGGTTTTCTGTGGGAGAGGGATTGTCCAGTTTTCGATAAATCCCGTTGGTTTCATCTCTATACATTCGACGACTAGCATCAGACACACTGTATTTTAGTTTTCTATGTGTTGTCATGATCCTTTGTGTCAATTTCTCACGTTTTCTTATGTCATACAAATCAAAATCGTCGGTGAAATCGAACTTATAACGTTAAAATGTCATCTAATAAATTCATGCTCACGAAGCCTCCAATTACAACACACCCATAAGCTGAGTATAAACAATGAGTAAAAAATTCCTAATTTGATAAACTCCATTAACCAAAAAAGAAAATCTAAGCTCTGCATAAATTATTCCCGTATAAATGAATTTAATCGGGGTAGCGGTTGAGGTTAAACAAAGTACAGAAGTTATATTGGTTGGTTCTGATTTTATACCACAATCGCATGGAAACTGACACAGTTTTAAGAAGCCAATAATTAGATTAGGTTTATGATCCTGTTTTTCTTTCACTTAATAAATCTCCAGAAAGTGTACAAGATAGTAATAATTCAACCTCTTGAGATACATAGGTCGGCATTAAAACAAACAGCCTCTGGTTTATTTCTAATTATCACCGCATCATTTACCGTGGCTCGTATTCTTAATGCGCGGCGACTGGTGACCATAAAAATCTTATCAGCTGATTTTAAACTTTAAACAAATTTGGAAAGTAGGAATTCATGATGGATATTTTGTTTTATGGTTGTATGTCAAAGAACATTTCCTCTCTATTTATCAAATATTTATAGTTTGTTTTTATGTTCCGGCATTTGACCCCTGATTATGACCAGGGCTTTGAATAATTTCATGCGTTGGAATTTCAGATAGGGTCAAACATGCCAGTGTTAATTATTTATTTAAATTGTAGTTTCACTACCAGACAATTCTGTCTTCATTCAGTTTAAGTTGATATTTGTAATATACCAAGTTCTACACTGATGGCACAGAAAAGCAGCTTATTGTTATAGCAAAGGTTAAAGTTTCTCAAATGCAAGTCAATAACAAGCTAATTCAGAGAATTTGTAATCCCTATATAGGCGGCGGCCGGAAAGGGTTAAAAAAGACGTTAATGCAAAACTAACAACTAATTTCAAAAACATACTGAAAAACAAAATCAACAGAGTCGTTTGCAAAACCACAGACTCCGATGCAAAACCAACAGTCATTCACTGAATTGACGCTAGATGGCCTGCAAAAAAAGACATTACCTTAATTAACGCTAAATGGCGCGCAAGTTTTTCTACGTCATCATTACATGTGTACTTTCATAGGAACGTAAATCCCGCGAAATTCTTTATCAGCATCCATTTGGCAAATCTCAAAATAAAATTAATATACAGTAGAATATACTATTGGAATCGGAATCATATATCGGGTTATATAATAGGGGATCCCCTATTATACTATATACATTTTTTCTCAGATTGTATCAAGACCCTGTGCTTATATTTCAGGGAATGGTTTGAGTAATCAAAGTATAAAGTATGCCACGGAAACACCTCCGAAATATTTTCTACCATTAATTTTCCCATTCCAAATTCGGTCCCACCGCCCAAGGAATGCGGCAACTGTAAACCCTTGAGACAATCGCATCGCTCAGCCTCTTTTCTCAAGATATCAAGCACTTCACCCACAAGTTCAGTTCTCTGTGTTATGCCCTTTTGCCCAAACGTTACCCGCACCGTTTTGACCAAAAACAAAATTGTCCTGCCTGAATATTTTACCATAAGGTCCGCTACAAATCGCATCTACAGTACCGGGTTCGAGACCCACCCTACACAACCAAGGAACATAAGAACCGACTTGAAAAAAAAACATTGATCCGCTCCACCTGGATCTCTTCATTCCCATGTATTTCCCATCGCTTCTTATGCCGTGTTCTTGGGAGATTTCCTCCCAAAATTTGGAACCGACTTGGTTGCCAGATTGTCCAACTTGAACCTGAATGATATCTCTCATTGCAATTCTTTGTTTTATACTAAAATAACAAGTCAAGTTCAATGTCCACTTAGTTTTGGTTTAAAAGATTAATCTTTTATCATACACTTACTTGAAGAAAATAAGATGTGGTTGTAAAACAGTGATACTCCTGTACGCCAACTGATGGCGTTAAGGTTATGAGGTTATAATTAATTCCCACATGTGTGCAATGAAAGTACTTGTTTAAAGAATATACCTGTAAAATTTTAAAAGTCTTAGCATCAACCGTTACAGAGTTATGGTGAAGCCTGAATTTTTGTCCAAGGAAAGGACTTATGGGAGAGGACAAAGTTTTCGGAACTTGTGCCCAATCACTTTGACATGTCAATCAAATCTGTTCAAAACAAAAACAAAGGACTTATCACAACAAATACACATGTGAAACATGAAAGCTGTAGCACCAAACATTAAAAAACGTTACTGTATGGCCAAGATCAAGGTCAAAGGGTCAGAAATGTCAGTATCCAGAGAAATGTCTTGTCACATGAAATACGTATTTGAAATTAAAGTTTAAACCTCGATTGCTTAGAAGTTATTTCCAAGGTTATTTTTTTTTTCAAATGTGGGTTAAAATCAATTTGAAAGGTCAAGGTCGAAAGTATTGGTATCAAGGGAAGGTCTTGTCACAAAAAATACACTGGCCAGTGAAATATGAAAGGCCTAATAATAACTGTTAAAAGTTCTGAGATTATGATTATGGTCAAATACTGTATGTTAGTACTCAAAGAAAGTTCCCCAGTCTTCATCCGTCACCCATTATTGTCCCCCACTGAAAATAGGGGATATTTGTTTCGGTCTGTCTGTCCGTCAGTCCGTCTAGCTGTTCGTCCGTCTGTCTGTCTGTAAGATCTGTCTGTAACACTTTCGTTCCCATGCGATATCTAGAGAAGCTTTTAAGTTTTTGCAGTAAAATTTTACATAACTCCTCATGATTCCTATAATTGTTTTTGGGTTAAAATGTCAAAGGCCAAGGTCATCAATAAAAAAAAAATGTCCTTTTGAAAACCCTGCACAATCCCTAACAAAAAAGAACTATAGTTAACTATAGTAAATCAAAGTGTCAAAGTTTTCGCCAAAGGTGTTCAAAGTGTCGAAGTTTTCGCCAAAGTTGTTCAAAGTGTCAAAGTTTTCGTCAAAGATTTTCAAAGTGTCAAAGTTATCACTATAGTAAATCAAAGTTTTCAAAGTGTCAAAGTTATAACTAACTATAATAAACTATAGTTAACTTTAGTACCTTTAGTTATCGCTTGCAAAAACATTTTATACCACAACATCCTATGACATGAAGAAGACCCGTGTGAGTTTTGAGTTCAGGTCAAAGGTCAATGTCATTAATTCAAAAATTATATTTGTGTGTAAAACAATCATTTCAAGGGGATATCTCAAGAAACTTCTAAGATTTAGCATTAAAATTTAATAACATAACTCAAAACAGAGCTTTAGAATAGATGTGCATCGTTATCAATTGACAATGCCCTGTATCCCCCGTCCGTCCGTCTGTCCGCCCGTCTGTTTGTATTTCTATGTAACACTACCCTTTCCATGCAATACATGTATCTCGAGAAGCTTTTGAGCTTTTGCAATGTTTTACACAGCAACTCCCTATGACCTAAGGAAGATATTTATTGATTTCAGGTCAAGTTCATAATTCAAAAATTCTGTCATTTTAAACACTTTCGGTTTAGCGCGATATCTCGAGATCTTATTGAAATCCGCCTTTGTTTTTTTTTTCCAGATATAATTATATATAAATTATGATTAGAACTGGATTTGTACTATGCTTTCTTAACTTTTAATTTCGTAGGGTTCTTATCTATTTTCACATAAAAAATCTGGTTTAGTTTTTTTATTCAATACAATCTCTTCCTTTGATACAGGCCTAGGACAAGTAGATTGTCGCAAAAGTTACATGTACATGTATACATGTATATGTAATCTGAAAGTGAAGCATAATGTTGATTTTGGGGGAAAAAACACAAATGCTTTGCTTCTGATATATTTTTCTTTCAGATTTAGTTTTGATGAGACGTCAATTAATAAAATACATTTGTACGCTTTATACCGGCTAACTTTTTAAATATGATTTGTTTTGCGTTTTTGCATCTCTTTTCAAATAAATAATCTCATTTTTAGCCGGGCTTCTTGCTCAAAGAGCAATTGCCGGTTTATGTCATCCTGTTCAAGGCAGGAAGTCAACCCCATAGTCGCCATTTTAAAGTTACGAGTAAAAATATAGTTCATGCTCTCAACTGCTTTTGAGATAATACAAACGCTAAATAAAGCAACAAAAATAAAACGAAGTTTTATCTTTATAAAACATAAGTAGTAATGCTTTGAAACCTTCAGTTCTAAGTCAAAGAACATAGTTCATTAGCGTAAGGATTTTTGATAATCAGTGTTATCGTAGTTCTCTACACATACGAAGAAAAGTAGGAGAGGGAACCAGACTGGCCTGTTTGTTTACATTCAGCTGCAGTACCAGATTAATTCTGATTCTGACAAAATCGGACCGTGGTATTAGGATTGAAAAACTCACTGTCAGTGTCTTATCATTTATATTGATAGTTTTAGAATAATTTTTTTCATCAAAATATAAACGTATGATTTATGTAAGAAATTCATTCTACTCTGTAAATGAGCCCGGCTCTCTGTACTTCTGAGTACTTTGATTATGTCTTTCAGTTAATACCTACTATCACTCCAGTAACAGCTTGTCTCGTGATCGAACGAGCGTGCTAATTGTTTCACACGTCGATAACCGTACTACTCATCGATTGGATGTTTGATTTCAATGACAGCAATACTACTTTGCATATGAAATACAGAAAACAGCAATCATTATACCACTTACAAAATACTGACCAATCGTATTGAATTATTTTTTATGAGAATGCAGTAAACAATAATCACGTGTGGAAAGCAAGTTTTAATCCCTATAGTGATGATATTGATCGCTCTAAATATAATATATCAAAATAATTTCGAAGTATAGATGCGAATCAAAATTAAGTCCATTCGTTCAAATCACAATAAATATGCTATGTGTCTTTTTTTAGAACAGATAGAAAACGGGCTTTCACTGACCACGTGTTACTACAAATACCGCACTGGTAAATAGTCATTCAATACGATTGACCAATATTATCGAGTTATTCAGTTTGATTGGCCAATGTTATCGGTGTTGTTGGATTAGTACTCTGTGTTTTATATGCAAAGTAGCATTGCTTTCATTCAAATCAAACATCCAATCGATTTGTTAA